TAACAGGGGTGGAGGCCTCCGGGTTCAACTGTCCCCCTCTTACAATGCTGTGATTGCTAGTATCACTCAGCCCTCTGTGAACAGTAAACAGCCATCAGTGTGCTAATGATCCATTGTTAGGCTGATGGTCCTTCTTGAGCATGTGATCAGCTGGTTTTGGTTGTCAGCAGCAAGACTGGTTGATCCACCCTGAGACGGTGCTATTTAAGAGACTGAGCTGAATACAGCTCCTCAGACTGAGGAAGTCTCTCGGATGAGAGACGAAACGTTTCTACATTTTTTTGTTGATTTGCTTTGTTTTGTTTTTTTGAATGTCCAGAGGACCAGATTGAACTTTTTTAGAGGATCCTTAAAATATTTTAAACCTTTACTTCGCCACCCACTAAAAGTAGCATCTTGCAATGAAGGAGGAAAAAGGTTATTAAATGCAATTGGACTAGAAAGACTTAACTGATGAAGGCCAAAGTGTTTACTAAATTGTGAGTAGATTGCGAGGGAGTTATAAACTATATAGTTAGAAGAAGTACGATTAAGAGGTAAGGGTAAGGATCCGCCAATCAAAGTTGGCAGAGATAACGGATGCAGAGATTTTCTATTTCCACCCAAATGGGACCCCCATTGTTGGAGCTACAATACACCCAAAAGGACAGAAAACACAAATTACATGCCCAATAATAGTGCGGGATATTGGGAAGAGCCAGACCCCCATCTTGCTTTGATTTTTGCAGGTAGTCTTTCCTTAGCCGAGGCTTTTTGCCATTCCAGATGTAAGTCAAAATGACCAAATCTAACTTTTTAAAATAAGTACCTGGAATAAAAACAGGGAGACACTGAAAGAAGTAAATAAATCTAGGGAACACTGACATCTTGACTGTATTCACCCTTCCAATTAGAGAGAGGGGGAGGGCCGACCACTTAATTAAGTCCCGTTGGACTTCAGTCAGCAATTTATCAAAGTTATTTTTGTAGAGGTCATCAAATGTCTTTGTTATTGTAATGCCTAGATAGACAAAACTATGAGTAGCTATCTTAAAAGGTGTACTATTTGTGATACAGTCTAGATTATTGGAGTTGAAAAACAAAAGTTCGCCCTTATGCATGTTTACTCTATACCCAAAAATTTCTCCAAACTGAGAAAGGAGTGTTGAGATGTGAGGGATGGTCATTTCTGGCTCAGACATGTACAACAAAAGGTCATCAGCATAAAGAGAAAGTTTATGCCCCACCCTACCCCTGGGAGTTGGACTCCACCAGGGCTGCTCGTTGTCACAGATTCTGTTAATAACTTTTATGGACAGAATTTCTCAGTGCAGCCAGGGGGTGGAGGGAGTCCAATTCGGTGGCCTTTGCTCTTTGCAGATGATGTGGTTTTGTTGGCGTCATCGTTCAGTGATCTTCAGATCTCATTGGAGTGGTTCACAGCTGAGCGTGAAGTGGCTGGGATGAGAATCAGCACCTCCAAATCTGAGGACATTGTCCTCAGTTGGAAAAGGGTGGATTGTTCTCTTTGGGTCGAGGGTGAGGTTTTGCCTCAAGTGGAGGAGTTCAAGTATCTCGGGGTTTTGTTTGCAAGTGAGGAAAAAATGGAGCGTGAGATTGACAGACAGATTGGTGCAGCATCTGCAGTATTGCGGGCTCTGTACTGGTCCGTTGTGGTGAAGAGGGAGCTGAGTTGTAAGGTGACGCTTTCTGTTTACAGGTCAGTCTATGTTCCTATACTCACCTATGGTCATGAACTCTGAGTACTGACCGAAAGAATAAGATCACAGATACAGGAGGTTGAAATGAGTTTCCTCTGCAAGGTAGCTGGACTCTCCCTTGGAGATAGGGTGAGAAGTTCAGTTTTCCGGGAGAGACTTGGAGTAGAATCGCTGCTCTTCCACATCGAGAGGAGCCAAGTGAGGTGGTTTGGGCATCTGGTAAGGTTGCTCCCTGGGCACCTCCCTAGGGAGGTGTTTCAGATGTGTCTGACTGGAAGGAGACCCCGAGGAAGACTCAGGACATGCTGGAGAGACTATGTCTTTCACCTGGCCTGAGAACGCCTTAGGGTTTTCATCGCATTGTTGACTTTGTCTTGATTTTGCATAGAACAAATAAACCAAACCTGAACCTGAACCTGAACCTGGGTCCTCCCAGAAGAGCTGGAAGAGGTGGCTGTGGAAAGAGATGTCTGGGCCTGGGCTTCCCTGCTCAAGCTGCTGCCCCCGCCCCCGAGACCTGACTTTGGAACAAGTGGAAGATGATGGATGGATGGATGGATGGATGGATGGATGGATGGATGGATGGATGGATGGATGGATGGATGTTTGTACTATATATTACTTATAAAATAAATTAGCTTAGCATGAAAAGCTAACATTTATTACTTAGGTCTGTTTTTGCACACAGACCAAAACTACAGCTCTTTGTTCAACAAAGCAAGCAATGTGACAAAGAAACAACCAATGTGTGAGTTTCAGTCCAGCCTGATTAAAACTTTTAATGCATGAAAACCAGACGTTTGTTTAGGAGTATATAAACTACCTATTTTTATGCAGTTAAATATATAAATCTGTATTTAAATAAAACTTTGAATTTAATAAATACTTTTTATTGAAAACAAAATTGTCACTATTAGCTCAAATGAGAAAAAAACACAAGTACTGCGTTAGGGGCTGAAAATCCTGGGTGGGGCTCACAGTCTCCCCTTTAAGACTGAACACATCTGATTTCTTGTAGAAACTGTAAATCACTCAATTTAAAAAAAAAAAGTTCTTATATAATGTGGTTATTAGAGAATAATGTCTCTAATTGTTCCTCGTATGTCTTTATCCAGCTTTGCTTCTCAAAGATTTCAAAGACAGATTTTGTACAAAACCATGAAAGCAAGCTCCTGCTGACATCACCTGTTTGAAAATCTTTTTAATTTCCTCAACATTAGCCCTAAAATGTCAGACTATTGCATTTTTTTTTTAATAAAGAAAAAAAAAGATTATTTAAAACTGGCAAGAACTGTAAATTGATAATGCACATTTTCTTGTCATGTTTATATCTGTGGTAATCAATACACAAACCATAAGTGCCACGAGTATCAAAAATATTACTTTCAATTGCTGTCATTGTTTAAAAATATTGTAAACATTTGAAATGTGCAGAAAATGTTTTTATTACTCAAGAATTAATGAATTGGTGAATTAATACTAAAACTGAACTCATTTTAAAACTAAAGCTTCAACATGAAAGAGACAATTTGGCAGTCGTTTTTTCTGGGTATGTTTTATTTGTTAGACATTCAACATTTTTTTTATTGTTCTATATTAATATTTGATTCTTTTAATCTGTCTCTGAAAAAAGGAGGGTTGTTTTCAACGTCGGTACTGTCTGTACGAACAGAAAACTGGCACTTAGAGATGGACAACACCGGAGCTTTGTTCTGTATTAGGTCAGTTTCATTGTTGCAGTGTGAAGTTCACCAAGTATTCAACAAGATAAAAGATAAATTTAACAAAAGATCATGAATACAGTTACAGTATAAAGGCTACGAGGAGAGGACAGGTCTCAGCAGAAGCTCAGGCGGTTTTGACCACAAGGTAAGAAGAGATTAATGATCAGACCACTTTAAAACAAAATTTAAAGAATAGATTTTCAAAAGGTTGCTGTCAAATTCAATTTTAAATCATTCTAACACTTTTAATCTCTACAACTTTGTAAATTCAAAACCAGTTTTTAATTTTGCCATTTAATTTGAAGTTAAAGTTCTTGCTTCTTGACGACAGAACATTGGTCTTAAGATGAATCATCAAGTCTTCCCAGCACTGGTCCTTTGGGTGTTTTCAGCATGTTCAGGTAAGTTTGTAGGCAAGTTTCTCAATCATCGGCCTTTTCAGTCTGCCCCAAACAAAATGCTTGTCTCATGTTGAACTAAGTGTTAAAACCAATTTTTATTAAACTTTGAAGAGCACAAAAACATGCGTGTCTTAGTCAGTCAGCAGACATTACAAAACCACTGTATATATACCGGTATATATATATATATATATATATATATATATATATATATAT